GTGCAGCATCCACCTGGATGATGCGACAGCAGCCATAGTGCACCAGAACACTCACCACACATCAGTTATCAGTTGGGAGGAGAGGAGAGTAATGAAGCCAATTCATAGATGGGGATTATTAGGAGGCCATGATTGGTAAGGGCAAATGGGAAATTTGGACAGGATGTGGGGGTTACACCCTTACCCTTTTCGAGAAACACCCTGGGATTGCGCCTGTTTACAGTATAGTATCCCCATCACTATACTGGGGCATTAGGACCCACACAGACCACAGGGTGAGCACCCCCTGCTGGCCCCACTAACACCACTTCCAGCAGCAACCTTAGTTTTTCCCAGGAAGTCTCCCATCCAGGTACTGACCAGGCTCACATCTGCTTTAATTCAGTGGGTTGCCAGTTGTGAGTTGCAGGGTGATGTGGCTGCTGGCTCAAAGGGTCTTCGCCACTAACAGGTTAATACCACAGATGGTGCACATAGGCCAGCTGATATACAGGAGCTGTACTCCTTATTTTAACAGACCTAAGCACTACCAGACAGGAGGAAGGTAAACAGAGGCTGGGCAGGGTGGAAGCAGTCAGCAAGCATCTTTAGAGCTTTGTGTTTCAGTCTAGAGATGTAGAATGAATCCACAAAGGGAAGGTGAGTTTTAGAGGCGATATACACTGCCCTCTCTAGCTGTTCCATGTCCTGGGCAGAAGTGTTGCCATCTCACACAGTGATGGGAAACAGCACAATACTTTCAATGACAGATCCGTAAGAGAGGGCCATTGCTTCCTGTGACACTCCGAACTTCTTCTTGTGCTTCAAGGATAAATTGAAAATCTCTCTAAGATAGTAGCAAGATGGTTGGCTCAGGAGTTCAGTGTAGAGGTTACAGAAAAGCCCAGATGCTTCCCTGCTGTTCTGTATGTGGAAAAACAATCTGACACACCCTGCTCCTGCACACAGTATACTGTAAAGATCTTATGTACAAGAAGAAGTACCAGCTGTCCCTACTCTTTAAATCTACACTATAAGTAAGGGTTACCTTTTATGCTACTGAGGTAGATAGTTGTCATAAAACTGTAGTAAGGTGTATTCAAAGGTAAAATTCTAAAAAGAGCCTTTTGTTTCTCTGAAAAATAGAAATGCTGCCAGATAATCTGAAGTTCAGTGGTTTATAATTAAGATCTCTGATTGCGACAATCCTGATTACTGGGACAGTACTAAGAAGTCTGACTTCAGATTTCAGATGGAAAAAACCCATGCAGAAATCCCAGCCAGGGCAATTTCCTAGTTTAAAAAGGAAGGGTCCCTGTCTTATCCAGTTTAGCTTTAAACTGCTCTAGATAAATAGACACTGACTGAGTTATCAAAAGCTCAGAAACTCAGAAGAAGAGTAAGCTGGAGGAATATAAAAAAGAGCAATTTGAAATGTTGGGCATAATCAGTGAAAAGAAAATGGAAAATGAACAGAAAAATAAACTACTCAAAGAAGCGTTAGTGAAAATAGAAAATAGAAGACCCTCTGTTGTGGAGGAGGCCAGAAAAGAGATACAGGTAAGCTTGCATGAACAGGAAATCAAACTGGAAAGTTCATACAACAAGACTAATTAATAACTGAACAAAGAGACATGTTTATTGAGGAACTAGACTCTGCCCTGCAAGAAATCAGAGATCTCAAGCAGGGCACACGTGTCTCAGGTAGGGGCCAAGGGTACAAGGGCATTCAGGAAGCCTGGGCTCAGAGAGTCTCTAGGTCAGGATCAGAAAGAGCCCTATAGAGGACGCTCAGGTGTATCCATCCTGTCCTTGATCCATTTTGTAGTTAAGACAGCGGATTTAACCTCCACTAATTTAGAAGGCTAGCAAAAGAAATGTTTGATCTGACAATACCAGGTTGTAATATTGAGGAGTTGAAGGATATGCTCCAGTTCATGCCTGAAGCTATGGAACTCACAAAAGTTATTTTAGTGAAAAAAACTACCAGCAATGCAAGCTATGATATAGGAATATTCTAGCCATATTGATCAGGTATTGGCTTTTGCTGCTTTCCAGCATTCATGTTGTCAAGGGATACCTTAACCAGAAGGTGTAATGAGCAGGCTTGAGCAATGAAAGATAATGGTCATGCATACAGTCCAACCATGTGCTCCAGATGAGCGCTATGTGCAGGGTCAAGTAGGCCCCGCTAACACACCATCCACCAAGGGTTCACAGGGCAGATTTAAGAACAACTAGAAAAGACAGACACACGAAACAGAGGAGCACCCTTTCAGACACCCTATCTGGCCAAGATGCGAACCCAGTGGGAGACAGGAACACAGCTTTACAATAATGCTGAGGAGACAGCAGAGGACCTGAAGAAAGAGAATATAACATCGATGAAGTTCTGAGGGGATAAAAATGAACGGATGAATTTCACCCACAGCATAAACATATAATAACCAAGAAACATTGTAAAATCACTGGATACTTTTTGTTGCATATCTGTCATATTTGGGAACTGTAATAGATGAGAATTTTAATATGATTCCAGATGGTGTTTCTACTCAGTTTATATATATGATATATAAAGACCTGTTGTTAGACAGTGACTTTGCAAACTGATCGAGAAGGTGGAGCTTCATTCTTGGCAAAGATAGACGGAGTGGGGGAGCTAATTCACCTCCTCGTGTGAGCGAGGGGCCCCCACAGGACTCGGGAACTTCCCCTCCATTCCTGGGAAAGAGGCGGATAATCGTTTGACCCCATCAGTGGAAGTCATTCTTTTTTGAATAGGTTTTTGTTTACTGTTCATGTTGTTTGGATTCATATGTTCAAGTGCCAGCATATACATCACACCATTATTTGCTGGTTGTGTATGGAAATTTTAAATTAGCGGTATTTAATGTTAAATACTCAGCATACTCCATAATGTCCCACACTCAACATGCTCCAGAATAGATTACTTTTCATGTTTAATAGTGATAGGCATGAGGTGGAAGAATGTATAATTTTTACACCAAGATAGTATACCTATAAATACAGTTTGGAGACTGAATACAGGTAAACTCAGGCATAAATCTGTGATTATCAAATTAAATAAGAAGTCAAGTCATATTTAGAGAACGATGATAACGAAGAAGTGAACCCTGCTATACTTTGGGAAGCTGCTAAGGCAGTATCTATCTATAGCAGTCTCTATAGGGATCACTACTACTCAGAAGAAACTGAGGGAGTATAAAATATTGAAGATTGGAGAGAAAATTACAATGTCTTGAAGACCAACATAAGAAGAATAATGATCCAATTGACTTGGAACTGATTAAAAATACGTAGAAAGAAACAGATGAGTTATATGAGTTATATGAGGAAGAACTTGGGAAGAAGCACAGATTTGCAAACATACTATGAAGTAGAGCCGAAGCAGAAGACTTCATAACCGGCAAGCCTCAAACACAATAAGTAAGATAAAAGACACCAGCTCTTAATGCCTTCAGTACATATCATACCAACATCCCACTAATGCAGGCTCTAAATTAATTTCATCAACTTCGTAAAGCCAGTCCTGTAACCCTATCTGTAGATGGGTCTGTACCTGAGCTTCAATCAAAATTGAAAAACCTTGGGGTTATATTCAATTCTGGCTTAACAT